TGATTGGCTGTCATTATGTTTGGGCTTGTTTAGCATAAGCTGATTGGCTCCCATTGGAGTTGGGCGGGCTAAGTAAGGAGCGGTGAGGAGAGGAGAGGTGAAAATGGAGGAGCATGTGAGAGTTCTCGGCACAATGAATGGAAAATTTACTTTTCAAAAACGACCTGACGGCACTATTGATAAAAGTAGAGTGTTGTGCCTAATTTGTAAAGAGTTTGCTGACCACCGAAGCAGCTCAAGTTTAGCCTCTCACATTCATGAAAAGCACCCAGTCACGAGTGCATCCACAGCTAATGTTAGCACCGAAAGCGTTAGCAATATAGCGAGCTAAAGCAAAGCTCTTCACCAAACTAAACTCGAGGAGAACATCCCGCATACAAGGCATGAAGTCAGCATAGTTGCTGTGTCCTCAGTAGCCTACCAGAAGTGGTTGATGTTTATTTCAGCACTTTATTTATGATGAACAATGTTATTTCTGAAGTGCGAATTTACAGCACTGTGATTTAAGGCGCTCTTATTTATTTTTTATTATCCGAAGCAAGGTCAATGTTGACTACTTGTATTGCTCAGAAAAATGTTCTTACTGTTTTTGATATGCTAACATAAGCACTTTTTATGGACCTGATGTTCTATTTTTATTTTTATTTTATTATTTGGAGATTTACCAAAAAAACAACAGTGATATTCCCCCTGGTGGTCGAAACTATAGGTTGCCTCAATAATGTAATGAATTAAAAATGAAAATAGGGGTTTACTCCACACTTTTTAGATGAGATTAAAATATAGATTAATTAGATCAATTCTTTACAGATCATAATTAATTAATCTCATTTTAATCTCTCTTTTTCATCGTTTCACAGCAGTAGTTACAATGCCAATAGCGGGTTGTTGTTCTGCCCTGTGACCTGCATGGGGTCCGCTTCCAGCATCTTAGGTAATTTCGCAGGTCTCAGAACTTGAGCGTACATGGTCTCACTCGGTCCTTTGTGATGTCCCACCAAAGAGTAGGTAGAGTTCGGACTAGTGCCATTATCGATATCATTGCCATACACATTTGGTTCCAGGTTGATCTGCGAGCAAATCAAATAAAAAATGTTAAACTGTAATTTGGTTTCTGTGCACATTGTAAGATTCAAGGACTTACTTGACATCCTTCAGGTGTTCTGGTGGCCTGTCTTTCTCTTCCTGAAGGGTATTTGCACAAGTCACTTGTCAATATTTTCACGGCGTCCTCGCAGTTGTATGACCACAAAACAATTTCGGAAAAGGTGTAAGGGTTTGGATAAGGAGCGAAGGGTTCGGTTCTGGGGACAGAAGTTTGGCTCCACTGTGGTAAATTGGACTTGGATGATTGTTTTTTTGTTTGTTTTGTTTCTTGTTAATTGAACATAAAAACATTGCAGTGTCAGGGGCAGAGTAACTGGTACTTGCGTTTATGTCAGAGGGTTTATGGTTCAGACTGGCGTTAGGGAATGATGGTGAGGTACGAGGGCAAATGTGTGTTCACTGTTAGGACTGGGGATGCAGGGATTCAGAAAACTTTAGGATTTACAGTCGATTAAATGCTACTGGTATTGATGCAGGGGAAACCAGGGTTTGGGTGTGACGATAAGGCGTTTGAGAGGTTCAGTATTGAGATTAAATGATGCAAGTATTAGGGTAAAGGAGGCAAAAATTGGGACTGCAGTTGGGGTCTAAGAACAAGAGAATAGATGTAGGATTTCGATTAAATCGTGGGTCAGGGGACTATGTTTATGTTTAGGTTTAAGATTTGGATTAAATGGCACTCGGATTAGTGTAAGGGAACCAATGATTTAGACTACGGTAAGGGTAGGAGTACAAGGGGTTCTGATTGGTTTTCTACACAAGATGAAATGTCACTTGGGTTCTTGTAAGGGGCACCTTGGGTAGGACTAGGTTTAGGGTAAGGTGCTCGTCATCAGTTAACACCTTCGGGATTTGAGTAGAGCAACAATGAGAAAAACTTACTTCTTAAAGCAAATCTTATAAGAGCAAGACCAAGGGCAAGGCCAAATACTAATGGTATCCAGATCCAGGTAAAGCTTGAGATTTCTTTGGGTACTGTGGAAAAGAGAAAAAAAGGAAATCAACTTTTTAAGCCCGTTATACGGTGGTTAAAAAGCGTAAGCTTTTTTTTTTCCTAGCTGGTTTTCATAAGCAGCACAGGATCGCTGTGTGAAACTATGTGTGGCCACATACAATATGCTACATTCACTGAGTTTTCTACCATTCTGGATCTGCTGCACCAGTTTTGCAGGATCTCTTCATGAAAGCGACCACAAATAGAAATCTTGCCTTTGCTGGGTTCTGCATAACAACAGACAACAGACCGCTAGATTCCAGATGTACCGCATACTATGTACTCACCATGTTGCCGGCAGACTTGTTGAAGAGCCTTTGCCTCCTTCATCTCGCTAACCTGGTTGCTGTGCCGGCACACGATAGAGGAATTTAAGATGAAGGCCGCGAGATGCCAATCTGCATTTGACAGCTCGCCTCCATCCTGTGCAGTGCAGTTAGCATGTCGGCATTCAAACGTGGCGTTGAGGTGAGCTTTGTTGGTCCGACAGGTCACCGTCAAGTTACATGAGTCTGAGTCGGCAAACAGTGACACCACCTCCAGCTTGACGGGAGATACTGCGGCTGTAAAATCGATTCGTTAGTATACAGGTGGAAAAGTTTTGCAGAGGCAGAAATAATGTTCTTGGGTCAGTGTGACCCAGGGAATGTTTGACTGCCCATTGACATTCAGGTCGAGGAAACGGCTATAATCGCCCTAGGTCAAATTGATCTGCTCCGTTCTTTTCTCAGGTACTGTGATGATGATGTATAATACAGCGGTGGTTGTTTTAAAGTGCTCTATAAAATACAGTTGAGTTGAGACCCAGGGCAGTCTGGTGTTACACTTCTTGAATTTCTCAGTAGCAATGTTTCTGGGTCATTTTGACCCTGGGTATTTCTTAACACTCCTGTTACAATATACTTTTTCATTGACTGCCATTATCCTGGGTCAATTTGACTGGAGGCATGATGCATTTTTAAGAACACCAATCATGTTCTTGGGTCACTTTGACCCAGGGCATATTTAACACACCGGTATGTTTGTTTTTTGCACCGGTAATGTTTGTGGGTCATGGATTTCATGACACTGGACTTATGTTCCTGGGTCAGTTTGAGCCGAGGGACAATGCATTTTTTTTTCATAAACAACAATGATGATCCTGAGTGAATTTGACTGTAGCCATGTTGAACTCCCTATGATGTTTTGTTTCCCAAGAACAGCATTAATATATGTGGCAATTACCGTATTTTCACGACTGTAGGGCGCCATTAAAAGTCTTAAATTTTCTCCAAAATGGACAGGACGCCTTATAATGCGGTGCGTGTTGTGTATGTGCCGAGTTCCAAAGCCTGACTGAGAGCACTTCTGGCCGACACGCTGTTTATATAGAGAAAAGGTGGACGTGAGTGACGACAGGCATGCATGCGGAAGTCCGCCAATGAGTGATAAGAGGAAGCAAAGGGCCCGCCCTTAGCAGGTACCAGTCGCCAATGAGTGAAGGGTAGGCGTGTAAGAGGACGCTAAAGGCATGCCTCTAGCAGGTACCAATCGCATGAGTACATTGTAAAATGGCTAAATAAAGTACAACCGAACTCAGTTTTGCTTCCGTTGCCTTTTTAAAAACATGTTTTTAGCGTGTGTCCGTATGTCTTAGCTGCTACCGTATGCTTTAAGCTAACGTGTTTTTAGCCTGCGTGCATGCATGCCGTATGTTTAAGCTGGCGTATGTTTTACCATGCCTGGCTGCGGCCAATAATACAGTGCGTTTTGTGTATGTGTCAAATACAGAAATAGCACCCGTTACTGAGACTACGCCCAACAATACGGTGCGCCGAATGGTCGTGAAAATACGGTAATCAAATTGACCCGGGGCATCTTTAAGACTGTAGGTATTTTTTTGTTGTTGATATTCCTTGAACATTTTTCACTCTCCTTCCATTTCAGGAAGTGCAAGAAACTTTCTGGGTCAAAAAGCCCCTGGACATCAACATCTTTTCAATCAATGACATACCTTGAATGTGAAGTTTGTATTCAGCCAGCTTATTGTCATTACCACTGAGTACTGCAGTGTAAAGTCCAGCGTCCGGCTCTTGTACATTTTTTAATACAAAGGAAAAGTTTTTGAGTACCACTACTCTTCCGTGGTAGGTGGAATATATTTTTGTGTTTGTTTTATTTTTGTCTGATCTAAAAATGTCCAAACTTCTATTGAACTTCCAAAAGAAGAGGTCTCCGTCCGGCGTAAAAACTACAGGCTTCTTTACATCCAAACCGACATCAGCTCCAAGCTTGACAAACTTGCTCTCTGCTGCAGACCCTTGAAAAAAATCAATGACAACAATCATAAATAACAACACCGGAATAAAACAACCTCGCAATATAACAATTGAATAACTGATCACCAAAATGTTTAAATTATATTTAGCCTTTTTTTCCAGAAGGGGTTTGGGGGGGACATTTGATTTAAAATGTAATTTGATCTTTGTAAATTGTCCTCCAAGAAAAAAAGACATTTTCTTGGAAAACAATACATATTTATTGTACTGTTATCTTTTTTAAAGCAAATATTACTTTTTTCTTCCATCATAACATTTATCAAGGGAAAAAAATGATAACTTCTCTCCTTGGAAAAATTTGAAATCGATTTTTGCCACTTAACATTTTTTACAAATAGCTTTTATTTTTATCCATCCACTCATTTTCTGATCTGCTTATCCTCTTGATGGTCGCAGGGGCATGATGTAACCTACCCAACACAAATTGCAACAGTTTTTAAAAAAAATTCATTTATTGTTGTGTTTGTTTGTTTGTTTATTTATTTGAGAATTTATGAAAAAAGATCTCCCCTTAATCTTCTTTTTTACAGGGTTCCCACAGGTCCTTAAAGTTAATAAAAAATCCATTAAAAAAAGAAGTTGTAAAACTATGTTCTTAATTGTCCTTAATTTTCAGGGAAAGCTTCTAAAATCAATAAAAATCTTTTAAGAATTAACCTGTGTTGTTCATTTCATTTGTGTATGTCATTTCCCCCCACCCTTCCAATGAACAGTTTTGTCGGAAAATGCGCCTGGCGCCCTTCCCCTCAAACCCCGCTTCCTGGTTCCCGCTCTGCTTTTTCCGCTGTCTCCGATCAGTTCCGATGATGATCACGTGAGCACTTTGGGTCATTTCGGGCCAATTTGACATCCAGTATGTCAAATAAAGTGTTAGCTGATTGCCGCTAAAAATAAAGATGTGTCCTTCCTTCCAGCAATGATTTGAACACCAGTTCAGTGATATGTGGCTTTCTGTTCATTAAATCCACCGTGAATCACCTGCTGAATGGAGAAAAAGTCCTTCAAAAATGGCTAAATTTGCCCAGAAAAGTCCTTAAAAGGTCCATAAATAAAAAGCAAGTGGAAGCATGGGAACCCTGTAACCACATTTTACTCTACTTGCGAGTATAAAATTATTTTTAGGTGGGGGGAAAAAAAAAGCAAAAAAACTATTCAAAAGTGATTTCTTTGTACTATTGAAACATTCTTGAATCGTATTTTTCCTTTTAAATATCACATTGTAATATTGCTGCTTTTTAAAATAAATAATTTTTTAAAAACTTTTTTAAAACTTGTTTGTGGAATATTACGATTGGTTTCCTTCTCAGATGAAATGCAACGTTCGATTTTTCAAGTTTTATTCTCACAAGATTCTGATGTTTATTAAAAAAAGTCATACTTTTCAGTTTGTTTTTTTTTTTTAAATGCATTTCCCTTTCAAATCGAGTTTTTAAAAAAAGTCAATGAGAAGAGGAACTCGGTTATTAGAACAGGAAGCGTGGTTAGACACACTGCAAGCGCCGTTTCTTTTTGAATGCCTTATCTGGGGAAACATACATTAAACATGACGAGAACTCTCAAGTTTCATTTGCCCAGAAGTGCAGCTTACGCTTTCAAAAAAAATTCCTATTTGAGTGTTTTCATGCAAATAAAAGAGAAGCCAAACCAGACAAATGTGGTTTCGTTGCCAGTTGCACGTGTCACATCATTAGGTAACGTCACAAATTCAAAGTTGCTCAATTGTTTTTGTGCCAAATATTGTCCAGTTGGACAAGCACCCCTCTGACAAAATACTTCTCACTGCCTTGTGTACTTGGTATAATTCTTGAGTCATTTTGTATCATCCGTCTGGTCTCTGTGGTGTACAAGGGGTAAGTGAAAAAGGCATTTTTTAAAAAAATCTAATAAAATGGTTTCATCAGAAAATAAAATGTTTTTTTTTTCCTCCCCAAAACAACAACTCATTCTCCCAAAACATTTTTTACTTTTTTTGCTTTCTTTTCGTCACACACACTTTTTTTCACCACAGCTGTTGTTGTGGCTCCATAGACATCACAGTAAACTCTGCATTTTCCCTACACTTCAATGGAAAGTTTCCTGGGCGGTTCCTACTGGCACTGAGCCAAACAACTCAAGAAAACAGATGCGCTTACCTTGCGTTTTACGTATTTGTAGCAGAGAAAATAACAGAAACACAACCAGCGCCATGTCGCTTCAGGAAGGAAGATCTTTGTTTCAAACGCGGAAGAGGATTACAGTATGGCCAATGAAGGAAAAAATAAAAAATAGGCTGTCAAGCTTCTCACAGAATTCTGATTTTAAAGTCAGAATTCTGAGATTAAAGTCTCAGAATGGAAAAATCTAACTATGCGACGCTTCAATTTGCTTTCAGTTGACTCAAGAAGACTCCACTCACGGAGTAGCACAAAACGCAACACCCAGGACTGGCGTCCTGTGTAGCCACCCACCCCATCATGACAACAAACAGGCAGTTGCGGTAAACTCTTATTCACATTTGCTTACATTGGTGTCAACTTTGTTTAAACCTGTATTTAAATTAGCAGCCTGGGGATTTCTGTTAGAGTGTGACTTTATCTCTGACAGTACAGTATTTACTTAGAGTTGGGACTGCAAACAAAATGTCACGAGTTTTTTTTTTTTTTTTTTTTAAACAGAATTACCGGTACACATCGTCAAGTAATGACAAAAGCTTGCATTTACTGGCCACTTTATGAGAAAATAAGAATGCTTGAAGGTGAGTCGTCAAATTTGGCCAACAAAAATTCAAACTTTTGGCAATTTGGTGTTGGGCATCTCTCCAGTATACAAGGACCAAATTTTGGAGGAAAGTGGACAAAAACTATTGATGGAGTTCACCTTTCATAGTGTTGGAAATGGTAAAAATTGGACTTCAATGGATTCTTGAAATTAAATTGGTTGACTTCCAATGTCCTTTCAGACATGGATTTTTGAGACTTTTTTTTTTTTTTTGGGTGGTTGTTCCTGTTAGATTTCATGTTGCTATGTGGAAATAAATGGCTTTGGGGGGGGCTACATTTTCAAAAACAAAAAACACTCAGAGGGAGGGAGCGCTCCCAAGCCAATTTCTACCTCAAGGCTAATGTGGCCAGTAAATGTAAGTGAATGTACATTGTTTACTTAGCGACTATCACAAAGTCTTCAAAAGTGCTTTTTTGCCATACATTTTACATGAGCAACACAAACTGAAAACAGTCACTTTAACATTGAGACTGAAAACATACACACAAACTGACAGTGAAACAAGAGGAAACCGGTAACAGGTGTCTGGGGGAAAGTGTGTGGGTGGGGACATTTTTTTTTGATAACCTGTTTCCAACAACTGTGTCAATATTTGAATTTCCAACTGAAGGCTGCCATTGACTTCCGATAACCACACACATGCACTATTGTCTCATGGAAAACACCACACGCAAGGTTAGACGTTAGTGTTTTTTGTTAAAGTTCCTAAAATATTTTATATTTTTTCTGATGTCAAGTCTGTACACATACACAGATATTTAAAAAGAAGGAGAAAGAAAAAGCCACTCTCTTCAGGACGCAAAAAATAATAATAATAATCTGATGTTATATTCAGTCGTGTTTTCTGCACACATTTTTTGCATCTGCGGCTTATGTGGAGAGCAAATGTCCCTAAGTGCTTTTATACAGTACAATACTGTTGTGCAAATTTTTTATATAGTTTGGTGTTTTGGGGGGTGGTGTCTGGAACAGATTAGTTGTGTTGCCATTCATTTCAATGGAGAAAAATATGTGATGAGTGTTTTGAGGCACAAGTATGGTCACGGAATGAAGTAAACTCTTATTTCACGGCACAGCTGGATTCTCTCAAAAAATGTGATATTATGAAAATAAATCAACTACTCCAACAGAAATTTAAAAAATGATGTTTGTAATATTGTAACTTTTTTCAAAAAGATACCTTGTTTTTTTGCCCCCCCCCACCCCCCCAAAAAAATAGTGTATTTTTATAAAAATAACGACTTTTCTTATGGGATTTTTTTTTTTTTTTTTTAGAAAATAAATCTCCAAAAATACAGTGTGGGCCAAAAGTAGGCTTGTACTTGCAGGTTACATTTTCAGAGCTAAAACATTTTATTACAATTACCTATATGATATGAATTTGTTAAAAATGAACATTTTTAACACAATTTAATCCCTAAATACTCCATGAACATCGCAACATTCCTCAAACCTTTCCAGAACACTTTGACACACAATATAAATGTTAAAATCCAAAGTCATATATACAACTTTATTCTACGAAGATTTTAAGACGTTATATTATTTTACAAACTCTGACTCTTTCAAACAAGAGTCAGACTTTTGTCTGAAAATGTAATGCTTCATTCTCATGACATTACTTTCCTCCAAAACACAACTTTATTCTTGTAAAACAATTAAGTCTTCTTCCAAGAACAGTCTGATTTTATTTAAACTAAAAATATATTCTTATTGTGCCCCCCCCCTCCAAAATAACTTTATTCCTGGAATATCAAGACTTTTGTTCATGATCCTAATTACAGCATACGAATATTTTTACATGTGACGTTTTCTTCCCCAAAGAGCAACTTTATTCTTGTAGTGTTGTCTTGTATTCTTAGTATTTTATTTGGACTCTTTCTCGTGTGGCATCAATATTCCTTCTTATATCCTCATTTAAAAGCCTTTGTATTTTGAAAGGTGTCCAGTAAATGCCACCCCGACAGGGGGGCGCTCTGAGGCCATTTCAGGTAATCAGAAGCCAGAAAGAAGTCACTTGTAGAAAGGCACAATGATAATGCCGGCTCGTCGAGTGGAGCTTCCAGATAATTTTTTTTGAAGTGCACGCCAAAGCAACGGGGGGTGCGGTCATCCCTACCAGAAGGCCAATTGTAGATATTGACAAAGTGTTAGAATACAAAACAAGAGTTTACACTGAAAATATATGAAGGAAAAATATGGAGTTTGGACAAAAGAGTAGGGAAGGCAACAGGAAGTGAAAATGGGGGAGTTTGGACTAAAACATTGGCACATCTGAAAAGGAGTGAAAATGTGGAATTTGGACAAAAAAAAATGGCACAAATCTAGGAAGTGAAAATGGGAGGATAGGAAAAAAGTCCTGAGATACTTACAGGAAGCGAAAATAGGGAAATGTTGGGGAACAAAAAGAATCGGCACACTTGGCGTAAATGAAAATGTGGAATTTGAAAAGAATGGGTATACCTGCAGGAAGTGAAAATGGGCAGTTTCGACAAAAGAATTGGCACGCTTAAGACAAGTAAAAATGTGAAATTTGGGGGGATGTGTTGCGCACCTCCAGGAAGTGAAAATATGGAGTTTGCATAAAAGTATTGGGACTCTGACAAGAAGTGAAAATGTGCAGTTTGGACAAAAGACTTGAGACCAGTCCGGTGGTGATGGGCAAAATGAATTCATGACGCGATGCTTCGTTCACATGAGGTCCTCTACTGACACTTGCTGTTCAGTGGCAAGTATTGAAGATGAAATTTTGAAATGCTTTTCGGTATCATGAAAGTATGTCGCAATATGGCAAAAGCCAATTGGTTTGCACATGGTTTTAAGCAATTTGGCTTCATTTGCTCTCTGGTATCATCAAGCTGTAAGCAAAATGTATACACAGAATAAAATAAGTTTGTATGCCAACAGTGACTGAAGGACCGCAAGTAGCAGTAGTGCAGTTTTAGCAGTAGGAGTGTAGTGAAACATGGTGTGAGTAAAACATAATATAGTGAGTCCAATGTTGATGAATCACCTTAAAGTACTTTTTTAAAACTGTTCAGCATCCACGAGGTTCAAACTTGCGACCTGTCGCTCTGTCAACTGTGCCATATGAACATTTGACTTTTACAAAGACCAAAAGTATTTAAAAAGAAAATGAGTGAAAACAACTCATGTCCAGTATGACTCCCCAATTCGACAACTAAATTTCAGCTCACTACAAACACCGACAACACGTGGAAAGGTCTCCGGCGTTATGAGACAACAATACGTTGAATGAACCAATGATATATTCCAGACAAACCGAGACCTCGTTTGTCATCGTTCAGTTTTTTTGGGGGGGAGACGCACCGAATATGCGCTTCATTTGGCACACCCATTTTTGCTCGAGACACAAGTCCCGCTTCATCTGGCCCATCACTACCCTCCTGGAAGTGAACGTGTGGCTGTTTGACAAAAGTATTGGGACACCTGAAACAGTATACATTTGTTACCGTTGTTCTTTCTTCTTTAAAAGAACCTCTGCCACCACTCGCCAGTTTATTTTTCAGTGCCGTTTGATTTTCCATAGTTTGTGCTCAGGTTCTGTGAGGCAGACGGCACCGCAGTCCACAAACGAGTCCCATATCAGGTTTTCACACGTTGCTAATGCGAACGCTGACACGGCCTCGCTCCTCCCGGTAGCTTTGCTCCAAGCGGATCTTCTCCGGGTCGGAGCCGTCGGCGTGTTTCCCACCGCCGTTGCTCTGGTAGCCGTGTCGCTGGCCCTCTGACGGCTTGAAGACGGGCTGCGCCTTGCTCTTGGCCACCTTGTCGAAAAAGGCGAAGTCGGCCACGTATTTGCCCGATGGCGACAGGGAGACCACAGGAGGGAACTCATAGCCCCACAGGATCTCGTCGGGCAGGTAGGAGGTGCGAACCTGGCAGGTGGCCGACGTGGGCTCCACTGTGGCGCTTAGGATGACCAGCAGCTCAAAGTCGGCCAATTCCGGATCAGTCCAGCCGCCGCCTGGATGGAAATGGATATGACTTAACCTAGTTAGGATTATAGACTGTTTCTCATTGAGTCGCTGATGGTGTGGTGGTACACATGCCGGAGTTGTGTGCGGGCAGCGTGGGATCGGTTCCCACTCAGCGGCAGTGTCAATGTGGGTGTGAATGATCATTTGTCTCCATATGTGCCCTGCGACTGACTGCCAACCAGTTCAGGGTGTAGTTTACCTTCCGCCCAAAGTCAGCTGGGATAGGCCCCAGCACGCCCGCGACCCTCGTGAGGATAAGCAGATTATGGAATGGATGGACTTTTTCTTTTCAGAAAAAAATATTTTAAAAACAGCAAAGAAATGTTCCCCAAAAAAGACAGAATTTGCATGTGATTAAAAATAATTCTCACGGTTTTGTAACATGATCAACGTGAACTTGTGAGATATATTTTTTATTTAAGTTTATTTAGACTGACTTTTTCTCTGAAAAACGTGTCATTGTGACTGCCGCCACCCCCGCCCCTCCCCCCTCCAAAAAAAAAACCCTAACTTCCCACAAAAAAAGTCCAAAATGTCAAAATGGAAAATGTTCTCCCTTTCAAAGACTATTACCACGGGTTAAAATAAATGACAAAAATTAGTCTTTCTGAAATGGAAATGTGACTTATTTGCAGAACGCACCCTTGGCCGCCCAGGCCCTCAGAGGGCTGTCATCGTCGATGACATGGTAGAAAGTGAGTGGCAGGATGAGGAAGGGGCTGTCGCTGGAAGTGTCCACCTGGAAGGCCACGTTCCTCTGGTCCAGGCGAACCGTCTCGCCCTCCTTCGTCAAAGACGACTGGAGCAGCTTACCCGTCACCTGGACAAATGCCCGGCGCTCATTGTGAACATGTAATCAGCTTTGAACTTACTTGCTCACAAACAAGGTGAAATATTGATGTTGACTCTTCCTCAAAAGAAGACAAACGCTTGATGATTCGCTTTCTTACAGAATCAAAAACAAATGTTGCACTGACCTATCAAAGGAAGACAATCTATTGATGTTTTTGTTTTCCGAGAAAGAAGACAACAAACTGATGTTGTACTTTCCTAGGAATACAAATTATTCATGTTACCGTTTCCGAAAAAGAAAACTAATGACTGATAAAGAGAAACTCCCAATGTTGGACTTTCTGAAAAAGAAAAACTATTGGTGTCACACTTTCACTAAAAGACAAACGACTGAAATTGCAATTCCCTAAAAAGAAGACAAGCTACTAATGTTGCACTTTTGTTAACACACACACACACACACACACACACACACACACACCAATGCTGCATTTTCCTTTAAGAGACAAACTAATTTTTTGGCACTTCTCTAAACTATTAACGTTAACCTTTCCCAAAAAGAAGGCAAACTACTTATGTTGTGCTTTCTGAAAAAAAAACGAACCGGCTAACGTTGAACTCTCCGAAAAAGAAGAAAAACAATTTACATCAGACTTTCCCTAAAAGGAAGACAAACCGCTGACTTTACTTTCCGAAGAAAAATAGAAATTAAACGAAACCAAAAAGAGAAACTACGAATGTCAGTTTACTAAAAAGAATCGAAACTACTAATGTTGTGCTATCCCCCGGAAAATAGAAGACAAAAATTTATGATGTTGGACTTTCCCTTCAAAGACAAACTGCTCTTTCCTAAAAAACTTTGCTTTCCTAAAAAGAAGACCAAAAAACTGCCAATGTTACACTTTCCTAAGAATACAATGTCTTTTAATACTTTTAATTTTTCACTTTCCTAAAAAGAAGAAAAGCTTCTGATGTGATTTCATGAAAAGAAAAACTACCGGTTCGAATGATGCACTTACCAAGCAAAAGACAAATTGCCGATGTTGCCCTCTCCCTTAAGAGACAAAGTTCTTTGTTGCACTTTCCTTAAAAATGAAAAAAACTAACTACTACTGTTTCAAGACAAACCACATATGTTGCACTTTCCCTAAAAAGAAGATAACTGCCGTATTGATGTTGCAATTTCCTCAAATTAAATAAATATATGAATAAATAAATAGATATCGTTTAAACAAAGAAAAGTAAAGAAAGACGACTGATGATGCAGTTTCCTCATAAAGAATACAAACTTTTTGTGTCTCACTTTCCGTAAAGGAAGACGCACTGTGTGAATGGATTGATTTTTCAAGCACTTTGGGTTACATTTTTTTGCATGTTTTTTTTTTTTTTTTTTTAATAAATTAAGACTGCATGCTCGTGTCACAGGGGTGTTGCGCTTGGTCAAAAAGAAGAAAAGTCTGGTGGGCACTTGCCTGACAGCCAAGGAGGAGGCTCTTGCGCATGTTGGCCACCCTGATCATGAGGCACGGGCGTCCCTCCTGGCTCGACACCACGGCGTGCTGGCTGAACTTGACCGTCTCGCCTCGCTTCTTCGGACGCGCCACCTGAGCTCCCACACCACAGAACATTCACACAAAACTCTTGCAGCACCGGCAAAAATACAGTGCGGCTCAGGCTCTGGCTAGCAGATGTCGTGGCGAGCGCTTTTGCCGTTTGTACTGTATAGCATATCATAGCAATGAAGCCATGTTATTAGTAGTATTATAATTATTTTTTCGAAAAACGATCCTGTTACAAAAACGTTTTTGAATTTTAGAAAGTCATAATTTGTGTGGTGGAAAAAAAGTTGTCATGTTACGACAGTAAGTCTTATTTTGGAAGAAAATGTTAGATTTTTTTTGTTTCAATTGTAATCTCAAGAGATTCACATTTTTTCAAATAAAAGTATTTTTCTTTGGGGGTTTTTGTGGCAATTTGTATATTTTGAGAAAAAAAGTCTCCACATTTTAAACCTTTTTTATGAAAAAGTTCATTATTTTCGTAAGCAATGTAATACTCAACAGAGATATTTTTAGAAAAAAAATAATTTAAAAAAATCATTCTGACAAGAATAAAATGTTATTGTTTTCCAAAAAAAGTTGAAATATAATGAACACAGTGTCGTGTGTATTTTTATGTTATAATGCCATAATTTGTGAGAAAAAAAAGTCATAGTCTTACGACAAATCTGCTTTGGAGAGCAAGTTAGATATTTCAATCAAATTGTAATCGCAACCTTTTTTCAAATCGAAAAAATTGCTTTGTCATACTTTATGTCATTTCCATAGTTTGAAAGAAAATCATAAAATTCTGACAAGCAGTCTTGTTTTTTCGTCACTATTTGATGATTGTGGACGGCAAATGTATCCATTAGCCAGCAATAAACATGCATCTGCTGTATTGAGCGAGTCATTTTGCTCGCCGTTCTAATTTTTTTCTCTGATTGCAGAGGTGCCCCTTCTCAGGCGGACGCACCCCTACCACTTTGCGTGCCAGCTAGCGTTCACGCCAAAGCCTTCACCTTAGCCAGGAACGTTCCGGTGATGAAGATCTCCATGAGCGTGGTGATGAGCAGCTGGATGATGAGCAGGACGATGGCGACGGGGCACTCCTCGGTGATACAGCGGAAACCGTAGCCGATGGTGGTCTGCGACTCCAGCGAGAAGAGGAAGGCGCCCGTCAGCGTCTGCATCTGCATCACGCATGGAGTGTGGTTGGATGGAGGCTCGAACTCTGCAACCACAATTGGATTTTTTTTGGGGGGGTGGAATCAGTAATTAAAAAAAAAAAAAATCCTCCAATTATGATGACTTTCTCTTAAAAAAAAAAGAAACATTCCGATGCTTCTTGAAAACAATTTGACTTAATTCTGCTTTCATGAACAAATGTATGGACAATTAAAACGATACATTATTTTCTAAATATTACAATGTTTCTTGGGGAAAAAAAAATATTCTTGGGCAGGCCTTCAAAAAAAACATTAATTTCTCACAAGATAGTGGAATTTTCCTGATATATATTTTTTTATTCAACATGAAAAACATTTTCAACTATTTTATAATAAAACTACAACTATATATTAGGGATGGGCAAGTACCGATAGCACTTGCTTTTTATTTATGGACTTTTTAAGGGCTAATTTAGCCATTTTTAAGGACTTTTTCTCCATTCAGCGAGGGATTCTACCATGCCTGTTAGTCGAATGGTTAGTACGTCGGCGTTGTGCTGCTCTGTCCTTCCTGTGCTTTCTCAAAAATGTGTGTGGCCGTGCATTTTCTGATCCTCTTCCCCACTCAACTATTCACATTAACACTCACACCGAGGGACAATATAGAGTATTCATTCCCTGCCTGGTAGTCGAATAGTTAGTTCGTTGGGTTCGATTCGGGCCATCCGGTGCGTTCTCAAAAATGTGTGTGGCTATCCATTTTCTGATCCTCTTCTCCGGGACACAACTATTCGCGCTCACACTCGCACCAAGGAACAAATCACAAAACGCCTTACAATATATGGCTGTTTTTTTCGGGAAAAAACGCCTTACTGCACATGGCCGTTTTTTTCGTCAAAAAAAGCCTTACTATACATGGTCGTTTTTCCGGCAAAAAATGCCTTACAAAACATGGTCTTTTTTTTCGGCTAAAAACGCCTTAGTATACATGGTCTTTTTTTCGGCTAAAAACGCCTTACTATACCTGGTCGTTTTTTTCGGCAAAAAACGCCTGAGTATACATGGTCGTTTTTGTCGGCTACAAACGCCTGAGTATACATGGTCGTTTTTTCCGGCTACAAACGCCTGACTATACATGGTCGTTTTTTTCGGCTAAAAACGTCTTACTATATACATGGTCGTTTTTTTGGGCAAAAAACGCCTTTCTATACATGGTCTTTTTTTTCAGTCCAAAACGCCTTACTATTCATGGTTGTTTTTTTGGGGCTAAAAACGCCTTACTATACATGGTCGTTTTTTTGGGCTAAAAACGCCTTACTATGCATGGTCGTTGTTTTCGGCTAAAAATGCCTTACTATATACATGGTATTTTTTTTTCGGCAAAAAACGCCTTACTATACATGGTCGTTTTTTCCGGCAAAAAATGCCTGACAATACATGGCCTTTTTTTTCGGCTAAAAACGCCTTACTATACATGGTCGGGTTTTTTTTTTTTTTTTGGCTAAAAACGCCTTACCATACATGATGGTTTTTTTCGGCTAAAAACACCTTACTATACATGGTCGTTTTTTTTGGGCTGAAAACGCCTTACTATACATGGCCTTTTTTTCGCCTTTCTATACATGGTCGTTTTTTCGGCAAAAAGCACCTTTGTTTACATGGTGGTTTTTTTCGGCTACAAAGGCTTTAGTATACATGGTCGTTTTTTTCGGCTAAAAACGCCTTACTATTCATGGTTGTTTTTTTTCGGGCTAAAGACGCCTGACTATAAATGGTCGTTTTTTTTTTCGGCAAAAAACGCCTTACTATACATGGTCGTTTTTTTGGTTGTAAAAACACCTTACGATACATGGTCTTTTTTTTCCGCCCAAAACGCCTTACTATACATGGTCATTTTTTTCGGCTAAAAACGCCTTCCGATACTTGGTCGTTATTTTCGGCAAAAAACGCCTTGCTATACATGGTTGTTTTTTCGGCAAAAAACGCCTTACTAAAAATGGTCGTTTTTTTTCGGTAAAAAACGCCTTACTATACATGGTCGTTTTTTCGGCAAAAAACGCCTTACTAAAAATGGTCGTTTTTTTCGGTAAAAAAACGCCTTACTATACATGGTCGTTTTTTTCGGCTGAAAACGCCTTACTATACATGGTCGTTTTTTTCGGTAAGTGACTGTGACTTGTCTTGCACTACATGCGTATTTGACATGCACTTTCGAGGGTTTCCAGGAAAAAGTAACTCAGTGTTGTATTCTCATACATAACTGAGCAGGGTTTGAACCGGGGTTGCTTGGACCGAATGCCGGCATGTATACCTCTACGCTACCAGTAACTGTGAACTGCAGCGCACTTTGGTCAGATACGATGCCATCTATTGAGGTTTCACGGGAAAATTACCGAAGTGTTTGGTGTTGTATTTTCACAAAAACGCCTTACAATACATGGTCGTTTTTTTTTGGGCTGAAAACGCCTTTCTATACATGGTCTCTTTTTTTCAGTCCAAAACGCCTTACTATACATGGTCGCTTTTTTTGGGGGGGCTAAAAATGCCTTACTATACATGGTCGTTTTTTTTCGGCTAAAAACGCCTTACTATACATGGTCGTTTTTTTTCGGCTAAAAACGCCTTACTATACATGGTCGTTTTTTTTCGGCTAAAAACGCCTTACTATACATGGTCGTTTTTTTTCGGCTAAAAACGCCTTACTATACATGGTCGTTTTTTTTTGGCTAAAAACGCCTTACTATACATGGGATTTGAACCGGGGTTGCCTGGACCGAATGCCGGTGTGTATACCTCTACACTACCAGTGACTGTTACTTGTCCTGCACTATAGGCGTATTTGACATGCACTTTCGAGGGTTTCCAAGAAAAACAACCAAGTGCTGTAGTTTCACAGATAACCGAGCAGGGTTTGAACCGGGGTTGCCTGGACCGAA